ACACTGACTGTAGGTAGATGTTTTATCTGTTAATTGAAACTTATTAAAAACCTTAATACCATAAGCCATTAGACAAAAGCTAATGAAAGCCATAATGAAATACCACTAGCTGCCCTTTAGAAGACCCGAATAAAGGGTGGCACTGAATGTTGAGAAGGGTGTAGGGCAGCTGAAGCTGTTTTCCCCTGCCGGTGGAAATGCTGGTTTCTTATTTAACTCACCATATGGTTCAGTACTGTGTTCCTACATCTATCCAAGACAAGCGAAGTCACTTGCCCACCCCAGACACTGTGTGTGAAGGTGCACAGTCACTTCATTCATTACTTCCAAAAGCTAGAAATAACCTAGACATGAATTGGTTGACAGACGGGTCAGCAGGCTGGGGTACATCCGTACAGTGGGATACTTCTGTGCGCACTGAATCATCAGCCTATTGCACTGGGTGGAGGAGGCAGATGTAGACAGCTGCCTGCTCTGTGGTGGAGTTTCAAGAATATAACAGATGAACAGCAAAACTAGAGGGATGAAAAATAGGCAGTGGTTGCCATGAGCCAACTTAAGAGGAGGGTTTGCCCGTGATGCGGCTCCTGGGCATCTCAGGGATGATTGTCTATTGCAGATCTTGAGTACCACGGCAGCTACTCGCTATACTTTAAAAAGGGTACATTTTACATTTTGTAGGTTTTACGTCAGTAAGCTTCACTTTAGTTTTGGGGGGAAGTGTTTTGAGACAGGATCTCATTATGTAGTTCAGGCTGGCCTTCAGTTCACTTTGTAGCCCAGGCAGGCCTCGAACTCCCAGCAATCCTCCTTCCTCAGCCTCCCAAGTGCTGGGATCACAGGCATGTGTCACCATGCCCAGCAATCACTGGGTTTCTTACACATCTTCAAATTTCTCTCTATAAGTGTAGTAGCCCCCCATCTAGTTTCACTTTCTGCACCTTCTGTTATCCATGGACAACTGCAGTATGAACATATAAAGCAGAAGATTCCAGGTACCCCCAAGGCACAGGTTTTACATTGTACCACTGAGAGTAGTGTGATTGCACTGTGCTGTCCTGTGCCATCTCACGAGGAGCTGAGTCATCCCTTTGTCCAGTGCACCCTCTGCATGCTTACCTGCTGTCTTGGCTGTGGCTTTTCAGTGCTTCTGTCAGGTACCTCTTACTTTACTAACAGTGGCTGCGGCACTAAAAGTGCCGGAGTCGTGAAACTGGCAGTTCAGATATGCCTGAAGTGCTTTGTGCAGGTGAAAAGCTGAAGTACAGTGAGATCTTTGAGAGAGAGACACAGCAGGTAACTTTCGTTACAGTACACGGTTACAACCGCTGTGTTTTGTTATTAGCCTCTTACTGGGCTTAGTTATCAGTTCAGCTTTATTATATTATGTATGTACAGACAGTACACAACTTGGCTTGACTTGCAATTTTCAACTTTGCGTGGGTTTACTGGGGCATTAAATGCGTTTTCACTTAAGATGGGTTTATTGGAACACAACCCCATTGTATGTCAGGAGAGCCACCTATGCAGGAAAAAGCATAGGAGGTGTCGGGAAGGGTTTGCTACTGTCCTAGATTTCAAATTGTGTGCCCTTTAATAGGCTGTTGGTGGCCGTTGCTGGGTGTTAGGGTTAAGTAAGGAGGCTACCTGTGTGCTGGTGTGAGGCAGATACCTCTCGTGGGTGAAGCAGGATTCTCATGAAAAGGTGAAGTGGCTGTCTCGCCAGATACCTGTGGTTTGGTCAAAAAAACACAGTGAAAGTTGAAAAAACGTTAAAAAAATTTTATTGTAGTTAAAGACACATTGTCATTAATTCCCTCTCAAAATACTCCGCCCCTCACTTTGAACACACTTGTCCCATCATTCTTGTCGCTTTGTGAAGGGGTTCTGAGAGTCCTTTCGTGAGTGACTTACGCTGTCAGGGCTGCCTGGATGTCCTGAGTGGATTTAAACATTCATCTTCTGTGCCCATTTTCCCTTTGGGAAGGGCTAGAAGTGGCACAGTCCCAGATGTGGTGGATACAGTGGAAGAGGGCACATGGAGGGTTTTACAAGCCTGCCTGTCTGTTGAGTGACACTTGGCAGCACCCACCAGTTTTTACCTTCTAAAGACATGTACTCCTAGATATTCTGGAGGCTGAGGCAGGAGGATTGCAACTTCATCATGGGGGAGGGATTGGGTAGGATGTTTAGGCATCCCCTGTGTTTTATTTGGTATTCTACACCAAAATTTTATGTGCATTTTAGGACCTTGACAGCTTATACATTAGCTGTTTCTTCAGAGAGTACCATTTTAAAATGAACGAAACAACTCAGAATTAAGTGAGAAAACATGTTCCTTTTCTAAGTGTAGTTAACTGTAATCACCTCAAAGCCCTGGTTCCCTCAGTATCGACTTCTACTACATTGGAGCCAGGAAGAATGAAATCATCCTAAAAATCTTGGAAACAGAATGATTGACTTTATCCTTTCTTCACACTTTCTCCATTTTTAACTTCTAAGAATTGTTTTCTAAGTGGAGCATGATGGTGCACACCTGTAATCCTAGCACTCAAGAGGCGGAGGCAGGAGGATCACTGAGAATTCAAGACCAGGCTGGGCTACGGAAGCAAGTTCAGGGCCAGCCTGCTCCACATAGGCGAGACCCTGTCTCAAAACAAAACCAAAACTACAAAAAAGAATTGTTTTGTCACTGAGTAGCAGTTATGAATTTATAACATTGAAGACAAAAATTATAGTAGGAAATTAAAGCACCTTGAGTAAATTAAAATTTAAAGAAAGTCAGTGGTAGAGCACCTACTCACGTACCCCAGCCTCTGGGTTCAGTTTCTGGCGCCACCATCTGTGGAGGTGGGTGATGACAGCGTGGCAGGCTTGATCAAGAATGCCTTATTTACACCGCTCATCCCCTCAGTTTTGCTTGCTAATCTGAAGCTTTGCTGTTTTGGAGTCGCTCAGCTCATTTCTGCCTGTTTTTGTAAAATTGAGGAAGAGAAGGTGCCTCAGATGTCGTCCGCTCTGTGTGGTGCGGTTGGTCCGCAGAAGATTTCCTCCATTAGAATTTTGCTTAGATACTAATGTATCCATACAGTAGGAAAATATTAAACCCTTCACCTCAGAGTCCAGTTTCCCTTTCTCTGGGGCCTTGCCTCTCGCCCTGTTACATTGCTAGGAAGATAAACTTAAATCCCTCGCATCCATTACAGTTATTTGCCAAAACTTTCTTGCTTTTATCTTTTTTTTTTTTTTTTTGGTACCGGGAATCGAACTCTCAATCTTCATGCTTGCTGGGCAGGCGCTGTGCCGCTGAGCTACATCCCCAGCCTGGCTTTTAGAAAGTTAACTTCTGCTTAACTCTGTGGGTTAATGTGTTGATCTAATATGTATAAAATTGAAAAGGGATTATTAGTGTTTGATTTTTGAGTGTTATTACTGAAGTGTTGTTAGGGATTCTGTTCTTCAGGTTTTATTCAAAACTAAAGACTTGCTGCCACTTACTCATTTTTTTTGGTAACATGAGTAGACCAAAGGTTACTGATGGGCTATTTTGTGTGATGAAAAGTTTTTATGAAGGAATACCTTTGGGAGCAGGGACAGCATGTCTCAGAGGCAGGATTTTATCCTTAGAAAATCAGTAAAAGCATTGGTACAATTTTTATTTGTAACATAGAGAAGAAAATTCTTCCCTTTGAATTCAAGATTGTTTCATAGAACCGTTGGACTACTTTGCTTTATTAAAAAGACAGTTTCCCACTCTAAGTGAAACTGGACATGTAACTTTACTAGTCTCTTTTCTGCGTCCCTTTACCTTGTTCCCTATTTTCCTGCAGCCCTTGAGGAAGGCACTATTGTAACCCCACCTCACAGTTAGGAGGCTGCTGCTGATAGGTTGAATAGCTGTACCTGGGTCACATGGTCTGGGTCACATGATGTGAACAGCAGACAGGTGCCACCCAGTCTCTGGTTCTCTAGAGCCAAACTTCCGTCACTTAGATAGATTTGCTTGCCAGTTTAAAAGCATACTTGTGAGGTGATTAATAAAAATTAAAAAAAATATATTATTTATCACTCATCTTACAGTTGATTACGTATCTTTTCCTGCCGAGAATAGTAAGGTTATTGCACATGAAGACAGATTACCACTTCAGTTTTATTTTTAATGAGGGCTGAGCCAGTTTTGTTTCATTCCTGAGTGACAGGTCTTATGATTTAATTTTCCTGTGATATGACATAATTTATTTCAGACTACGAATATCATACTCAAAGAATTTGCTTTAAAGTTACGCTGCTAATTTACTTTGTAAGTTCTACACAGAAATGCATTTAATTAGTGTAATTATCTCTTAGCCAAGTGGGAAACTTTTCAGTGCCAAAAATGTTAGGGTTATGTGCTTGATAGCTTTCATGCAAACATGGGAACTTTCTTACCTACCAGCTACACATACTGACAACTTCCTTAAAGTAGCTTCAAAATTCGGTGTTCCTAAACTGAATGGTATCAGACTTCTATTATATAATGAATATTAATCATTGATAGATAAAGCTTTAACATGTTTAGCATTATCCAGGGATTTAATCTAATATGACATGTCTAATTTAACACTGGGTAAGGGGCATGTTCTTTCTCTTGACAACATATAAGTAATAACCTTATTTGCTAAATGTAGTATGTTTTATATGTTGTCTCTTTTTTAAAAAAAATAGCGCTTACTCTTTTTTGTAGAAAGTAGCATTGCACCAATGTTTTCTGTTGAACATACTTGGACACTTGTATTAGAACATAAATGTCTAGAGGAGAAAATGTAATTTTTTTCTCCATTTATTTCACCCTCCTGAAGTTGGCCCCTTCATGGTTACCCCAGAACTGCCCCCATTTTAAGTATGTTTTTAAAGAAGGACCTTCTGCTTTTGTTACCGTATTCCTACGTAATGATTAACGTACAGCTTCGGAGAGTACTTAAAATGCTGTTGTTTTAAGTGACCCTCTCTTCTCTCGATAGCAAATGAAGAAGCATCCCTGCCGCCAGTGTGACAAGTCTTTCAGCTCCTCCCACAGCCTGTGCCGCCACAACAGGATCAAGCACAAAGGCATCAGGAAAGTTTATACGTGCTCGTAAGTCACGATTTCTAATGTGGAAGCACAGTGAGAGGGTTGTCAGCACCTTCTGGAGTGTTTTGTTTTGTTTGCTTTTGTTGTAATGGAGATTGAACTCAGGGAATACCCGGTTCTTTTAAATTTGAGACAAGTTCTTGCTAAATTGTCCAGACTGGCCTCAAACTTGCAATCTTCCTGCCTCAGCCTCCCAAGTAGCTAAGCTTATAGGTGTGCAGCACCATCCTCAGCCTTGTTTTCATATTTTACCATTAACTTTTGACTCCTCACCCTCTGCTCCAGTTTCTAGATTAGATTTCTTGACTGTATTCTATTTTGGCATACAGTTTTATTGATTGGGTCATCTCACTTGCATAGACCACATACATTAAATTTTTATATTACTCAGTGACTTTTTTTTGTTTGTTTGTTTTTCCGGTACCAGGAATCGAAGTCACAATCTTGCATTTGCCAGGCAGGCGCTGTGTCGCTGAGCTAAATCCCCAGCCCCTCAGTGACATTTTTATTACTGAGAATTGGGAGCGGAGGTGGCTGGTTTACTGGTGGGAAGTAGTGATTGGGCAGCATTGTAGATTGACTTGACAGGTCAGTTTACTTGATTTCAGAGGAGGCCTGGAAAAGGTCCAGTCCAGACCAGGTCCTTGGGCCCTTTGGCAGTACTCGCTCTTGGCTGAGACCAGACACAGGTGAGGGACTGAGTGGGCCATAAACTCTCACACCTCAGTGGCCAGCTGCCTCTTCGTATGTAATGACCAGATGTGTTACCATATTGGTAGTGGACAGTCTCAGTCACCTCTCAGGGGAGTTGGTAGAGCAAGGTGTTTCTCATCAGAGAGATCTCTAGGACCCAGAATATGGAGAGCCAGTGTGTAACGCCACAAAAAAGGGGTCAGAGCAGGTGGTGTGGGCCTTGTGCACAGGGACAGGCGTGAAGCTGGCTGTCACCCCAGCGAGGGTTTGCTGGGGCTTGGTTCGATAGGGAAAGTTTTCTAGGTAGCAAAGCAGGAGTGAAATCAAAGAGGTAAGTGATTTTAGCGAGGTGACAGTGTTCCATAGATAGTCTGTATGTTGAGAATGAATGAAAAGAATCAGAATTTAGGATGCCTTGGGCTGAGAAAGGAGAGAAAGGAGTCTGCCTGGCCATAATCCCTCCTTGATAGGTTTTGTTTCTTTCCCTGTGAAGTCCCTGTCCAGCAGGAGGATGCCAGGACTTCCTAGCTAATTTACTGCTGGCAGAAATCTCCTCATGAGTTAAGAGCGCGTGTTCTGTGGTGCCAGCTCCTGCCACTGCCCCTAGACGGCCTGTTAGGTGAAGTCTTCAGGTTCGGAGCCAGTCATTATTTGAAAGTAACAGTTTTGGTTCCAAACAAGACCAGGCTCCTCGTCCCCTTCACTGCAGTGGTATTCTTGGTGGGATGGATACACAGCATCCATCAGCAGCATGTTATGAATGTTTTAAAAACTTTTTGGCCTGATTTAAGAAAACAGTAAATACCTATCTTTCGAACTATCTTCTTAATTACAATATTTTTGGCACAAGGTAAAATGAAAACTTAAATAAGTGGCCTGTCATGGGTCAGTTCATTTTTCCACATTTTTGTCTGTGTGTACTTGAGAAAGAAGCACACTTTTGCCCACCCACGCACGTTAGGAATGTACCCCGTGAGCGAACCTGTTCCAGGGCTGTGGTGATAAACACAGGGGTCACATCGATGCTTTGGTGACAAGACTGGGCTGGGCTCTGTCTCCTCACAGCAGAGGGACAGGGGAATTCACAGCCTAACAGCAGCATGGCAGGCCCAGAGGGGACTGGATAGCCTGCTTGGTCTATCATGGTGTAAATTCTGAGGTATTCTGAGCTGTTGTAAAGAAAACTTTGGAAATTTAGTATTCTGTGTTTCAAAATTAAGGCTAACGTAGAATTAGAAATTAAGTCGTACTTTGATTAAACCTAGAATATTCCAACTGAAGCAGATCAGTCTAGTCCTGTACCAACAGAGCTTCTTTTACAAAAGCTGTTTTTTTAACCCCTTTTTCACAAACTGGGCCCTGTGGCTCCTGGCAACACCGCTTGCTTGTCCTTGAGCGCTGGCGTTAGTTGAGCGCGGGGAGGCTGTCGGGGCTGTTGGGGCTGTTGGGGCTGTCGCGCAGGCCCTGCAGCTGCGGCCGGTCCTCTGTAGCAGGGTGGTCTCTCCCCGTCTGTGCCCTGCAGCCACTGCCCGGACTCCCGGCGGACCTTCACCAAGCGGCTGATGCTGGAGAAGCACATCCAGCTCATGCACGGAATCAAGGATCCGGATGTGAAAGAGATGACCGAAGCTACCAACGAGGAGGAAACCGAAATAAAGGAAGACACCAAGGTCAGACATCACAGCGAAGCTGTGTTGACTTGTTTTGTCCGTGCATCGTCTTCCTCTACCTGTGCGTTCAGTTGCAGTTTCAAAAATTCAGGTTACACATAAAAGTGTAAAAGAACGGATAATCCCCCATACCCATTTTGACACCTCAGCTTCTCCTGAAAGGTAACTTTTGTTAAATTTCTTCTGTGCCCTTCCAGAGACAGCTATAGGGATCTACTTGCTTATATAACTTAAAAGTTATGTTGATTTAGGGAAATTGTCTCTTAGCTGGAGGAATCTCTTAAAGGTAGATTCTTTTTCTGATAGTATGCCAGTGATAATAGGTTCCTTATCACAGTGAAGCGAGGGATTAGTTCCTTGTAATGATAAAGGATGAAACAACAGATTTATGCCCTCTTACCCCTTTTTGGTGGTGCTGGGGACTGAGCTCAGGGCCTGGCATGTGATAGGCAAGTGCTCTCCTACTGAGCTACATCTCCAGCCCCCAAGCCTTACTCTTGTATGGGGGTGGTGAACTTTAGTCAGTCAGCCATAAATAGGGTCCTGTGTGAGAGGCATTGTGTGCACCACGTGCCATTGGAGTTCAGGGACGCCGCAAAGTCAGGCGCTGTTGCTGGCCTTGGTGCCACGCTACGTCTGGAAGGCACTTAGGTAAAAGCAGTTCACACATAAATGCTTTGCAAGGAGTTAATCATTGTGTAAAAAGCTTATCAGACTAGTGTCACGTTGAGATGTAGTCCTTATCCACAGAAGTTAAAAGAAAGTATTGTAAACATAGCTTAGGCTCTGGGCAGAGCAGGCTGGACCACAGGGCATGGAGAGGAAGTGTCCTGCGGGCTTGGTGGACTTGATATGTGCAGGGACGGGGAAGGCAGAGTGGACGGAGAAAGACAAATGAAAAGGCCGCAAGGCGTGTTGCTGAGGTGGGAAGAGCAGCTCCCAGCATAGTCACAGTGAGAACCAGAGCCCGATGTGTTGTCACCCAACGCCTCCCTCCACCTCTGTGGGACCCTGTTTCCTGTACACCCTGGGCCCTCTGCCACTGCAGTCACCCTGCTCTGTCCAAAACACAGGGCAGAGTGAGGTGTGACTTCACGCTCCTTGGGGCTACTTTCTTTCTCTTCCTGCGTCGGGTCCCTGACCCCCTTTGCCAGGCCCTCCCTGACCCCAGGTACCCACCCTGTTTCTCCCAGCATGCCTTGTACCGCCTGCTTGTTTTCTTGAGTCCATTGTGCTCCAGATCGCTGCACTTGTTCTGGTTTGCCCGTCCTGTGCCTGGGTGGTAACTCGGTTCCTATTTGAGGGTAGAGGGACGGTACAGGCCTTTGGCAGGGCAGATGGGTGACTTAAGAAGCCCTAGTCCCGCACTTACAGTGTGTACCTTTCTGGCAGTCATTCACCAGAGATACAGCAGGGCAGCTTCAGTTGTGTTATTTGTTATGCTTCTCCCCGAAAGGTCCCAAGTCCCAAGCGGAAGTTGGAAGAACCGGTTTTAGAGTTCAGACCTCCCAGAGGAGCCATCACTCAACCACTGAAGAAGCTCAAGATCAACGTGTTCAAGGTTCACAAGTGCGCCGTGTGCGGCTTCACCACCGAGAACCTGCTGCAGTTCCACGAGCACATCCCCCAGCACAAGTCAGATGGCTCCTCCTACCAGTGCCGCGAGTGCGGCCTCTGCTACACGTCCCACGTCTCCCTGTCCCGGCACCTCTTCATCGTGCACAAGCTGAAGGAGCCCCAGCCGGCATCCAAGCAGAACGGGGCCGGGGAGGACAACCAGCAAGAGAACAAGCCCGGCCCCGAGGACGAGACGCCGGACGGCGCTGCGTCAGACAGGAAGTGCAAGGTGTGTGCAAAGACCTTCGAAACAGAAGCTGCCTTAAACACGCACATGCGGACACACGGCATGGCCTTCATTAAGTCCAAAAGAATGAGCTCCGCTGAGAAATAGCCACAGATGTTCCATAAGGAAAATCCTGTCCACATTGGAATCAAGAAACATTTTTGTTACAAAAATTTGCAGTATAATAGAGTTAACAGTACTGTCTAGGCTGTTGCAATATATTCCCTCTCAGTGTACCCTCCTCACCGTCAGGTTATCTCCTCCGTAAGGATCATGACAGTATTTGAGTTTAAAAGAGTTTGTATATATTTAAACAATAACTTTTATACTCTTTGTTACATGTTTGTATCAGTATTTAGTGGAAAATGTTTTGAGTTTTTTGGGTTAGAGTTTTTCTTTTTGTACTGTTTCTTTAAAACAGAGTTCTTAGGGTCAGTTCCTGAATTCAGATAAACCATTTTGTATGTCACAAATTTGAATGGGTTCACTAATCAGAGGCTAACATTAATGCCTTTTTTAGTGTTTTTAATTTTTAGAATTCACTACACAAATTGTAGGTGATCGTGGTCTCAACAACACTAGGAACTTTAAAGTGTCTTAGCACTACTCCCTGCGCGCCTGCCCGCAAGCACGGCCGCCCGGACAGCTGCACTCACTGGGGCGGCCCAGGCCACACCCAACCCCACGCCCAACCCAGCGTGTTTAAAGCAGCCTTGCAGGGACCCGCTCTCCCAGCAGTGGGTAGAACAGGCCCGGAATCCAGTAAAGAATGTAGATGTGCTTAATTCCATCTGGAGAAATGAGGAAGAAGGGAATTCTAAAGGGAAAAAGCAAGGCTGATCGATCGTTGGGGGCACATTTGCAAGGCTGACTTAAGAGCACAAGGAGGTAAAGCTTTGAAAGGGCTGGACTACTGTAAAAGTTACAAACACGTAGTTAGAGCAGTAGACGTCTAGTCAGATGTTTGTCCCGTAACTTATTAACTATTACACACTTAAGATATCAAGTATTTCTCTGGCTCTTGACAGGAAAAAAAGTCATAGTTGACTTAACCCTTTGCTGTCTAAGCAGTTGGCGTTTCCTGTTCTGGGTGCTACTGCCAAACGTTCTGGTACTTAGAGTTGGGATGCACAACTTCAACCACCGACTTACCATGCAGCAGCCTGCACACGCAGTTGGCCATTAGATGAAGCACTGAGCCACCTGGGTTTCCTTTAGACATTTCAGTAGGTACAGCTCGCCTCCGTAGTTCTGCTCATTGAAGCATCGCAGAGGTACTCTTCTGTCCCTTCTGTTCGTAGTTCTCTGGCAGAGTTATATGTATGTATTTGTTTTTGTTTTTTTTTTTGGTTATTGTTTTGTGGTTTCTTTTGCATTTTATATCTTGTATTTATCCCTGAACGTGTTTTGTACTTTTTTTTTTGTAAGAAAAGAAATTCTTTTGTGTATATATAGATACTTGCATGATAGAATGTAGTCGGTGTTTGGTTCCTCAGAAGGTCTTGCTGCTGTCAGGTGTTATACACTACATCCATCATAACTGTATTAAACACATTTAATATGTAAATAAACGTGGGACATTTGGCCCTTGTGCTTCTGTGAGAGAGTTATTGATGGTGGGTCTCTGACATCTTCATGAAGTTAAGGAAGTGATTAATTGCTGGGACAGACTAAAGGATACTGCCAGATTCTTCCCACTAGGAGGAGTGGCGTATTTATTCTCGTTAATAATCAGCTATTGGTCACTTCCTTCTTGACTCCATCAGTACAACCCAAGGGTGTGATTAAGTATTCCTCAACTTGAAGTTTGATTGCTGTTACTCGTTACAGTTATATTTGTATTGCTCTAAGTTGTAATCATAGCACTTTCACATGTTTCTGCATTTGGACCTTGCAATAAACCTATGTGGAGGGCCGCATGGGTCTGTATAGCCTAGTTTTACAGTTGAGGAAGCTGAGTTCAGATTCAGTTCTTTGCCTAAGCCCTCGTAGCTGGTAAGTGGCTTTGCATATTAGAACCCAAATATTTTGCTCTAAATCTAGTGCTCGCTCTATGTGGTTATGTACATATGGACAAATATTCATTTATTCAACAAATAAAAGTATGTGTAAAACATGATCCTAGAACTTTTGTTTTTGGCATTATGGCTTTTATAAGATAACCTGGAAGTCTTTCTACTTTTAAACACCCAGAAATGCTTGGTGATGTGGAATTGCATCTGTTAACTGAAATCCACACTAACAACCACTGCTAACCAATGCAGTAGCTCCGGAGGGAAACCTGGATTCTCAAGTCTTAGGAAGCTGGGACTGTGAAGTGGAAGACAGAGCTTGCAGAAATTACTTAGAATGCAGCGCAGAGATAAGGAGGTGGAACATAGGGAAGAGGTCAGAGGTCAAGAATGACAAAATGGGAAGCTCCAACTTAGGTTCATAGCAGTTCCAGAAAAAGGGACAAGACAGAAATTCAGAAAGGTTAGTATGGAACATTTTAGCTATTAGTGAAATACACGAATACTTGTGAACGGAGTGCTGAGCAAGAACACATGTTGGGGCTTCAGTGCTCTCCATTCTCGCGGTGCGTGCTAGATGTGGGCCTTTGAGAGAGGGTGCAGTCAGACCAACAGCACAGTCCTGTGGATGCGTGCTCAGTGAGTTCTTGGCAAGCTCATTTGCTCTGTAGTGGACTGTGGGAACTGAAACTGGGCAGGTAGGTTTGGGCCAGGCTATAAAAGACAAAGCCAGGTGTGGTTCCACCTGTAATGCCAGCACTATGGGAGGCCAGGGCAGAAGGATCAAGTTCAAGTGTAGCCTCAGCAACTTGGCAAGACCTTGCCTCAAAATAAATTAATGGGATGGGGTTATATCGCTGTGTACAAAGGCCCTGGGCTCTATCCTTATACCAATCCCTCAAAAATAGATAAAAGCCTGAAAAACACATTAAAGTTTCATCCTTTGATAGTTGGAAATGAGTTATTTGGCCTGGGTAATGACATAACAAGCTGAACTGGTAGCAGTGTTTAGGATGGAAGGTGAGGAAGTGTATCAGTCAGGCTAGGTAGGTTATGCTGTGTTGTGCAACCTCAAATACAAATGGCTTGTCACAAGACGTCCAGTCTGCCCATCTTCAGTGTCCAGTGTGGACTCTTAGGCGGCATGCTTTCCTATCTCTTGGTCCCATTGTCCCACTGGTTACAAAAATTACTGGTTACTGTGGCGGAAGGCAAATGTGATTAAACTGGACCAGAACTGCAAAACACCACTTCTCAAACTGGTCAAAACCAGCCACACGGTTTTTCACTGTCACAAGGAGGCCAGGAAGTGCTGCTTCCCGTGTGCGCAAAATGCTAAAAATACTTGGAGAGCATAAATAACCATCACAGGAATAGTTTAATTACCGTAGCTCCGGTGCTAACCCAATATGAGGACTAGACCTAGGGTAGAGGGAGCAGGCTTGGAAAGAGGCTTCAGTTGTAATTAAAATGTCCAAAACAGTATCAGAAGCATTTCATATAGTGGAGTACAGAGGATGTCTGATTTGAAAGTTCAAATTTAGGTGATTATGTCAGTTTTTCTGAAAGTTTAGATTAAATGGAAACATGGAAGTAAGAATTAGAAGACATGGTTAAGGGGAAGATAATATGCTTTGAGTTTAGATATTCAAGACAAGTGTTTGTTTCTATGTGGTGGGTGATTCATAGCAATGCATAAAGTAACAGCAATGCATAAAGACCAGCAGCAAAATGAGAAGAAGGAAAACGTAGGCTTAGACTACATGATACTGACCAGTTCTCCCTCCCAGACACGTTTCTGCACATTCCTAACTCCTACCACAGTAAAGAGTCCAAAGAACAACCGTTCCCCCAAATCTCTGGTGGCATTTCACCACTGCCCATAGACTAGTGAGCTCCATCCCAGGAATTTTGACCAACCATGAAATTTCCTCTTGAAAAATTTGGAAAGTCAATATAAAATATTCATATTAATGTAATCATGCCCTGAGCACTTTAAAAAATGCTTACTTGGAAGGGGAAAAAAAGCAAAATGCCTGGAGAACTTTGTAAAATACGACTTGGAGGAAGCCCTCACTTACCTCACAGGAAAGTCTGAAAATAAAGAGCGTGCCCACTTGGATGTGCGATGCTTATCACGCCACACACACACCCACTTTGCAAATTTCAGATGCTTTAAAGATTGCAGACTGTAGCTCCTAATCATAGTGTATATCTAAATAAGGAAATTTAGACTTAGTTGCCTTAAAAATTTAGTTCCTACTCTGGCATTCTTATCGTTTGTGCAAATGGATTATTGAAACTTCTTTTTTGCTTAGAAAATTTTTTTTCCATTATGGCCCTGACATCCTTACTAACTGTAAGCCATGGGATATGACCACGTGAACTTATTTCTCTGCAAAAATGGTGGCAACCACAAAGTGAAAAATGTACAATGATATACAAAACAAATACAAAGCATTCAACGAATACCAACATGAAAACCATCAGACTACAAAGGAAGACAGCAAGAGAAGTAAAAACAAATTATATCCCACAAAACCAGAACAGGAAAAACAAAATGGCAGTATGAAGTCTTCCTTGGACCTTGATTGTAAGTGGACTATATTCTTAAAAAAAAGAGGTAAGAATGAATGGTTTAAAAAGATAAGACCTATGTATATGCTGTGTACAGCAGATGCACCTCACCTTTAAGGACACTCACAGGAGAAAAGGTAAAGAGAACAAGGGTAGCTATACTTGTATTAGACAAAATAGACTTTAAGTAAAAAAATAGAGACAAAGATGTAATGACAAAGGAGTCAGTTTATGAAGAGGTTAATACCAGTTGTAAATATGTATTCGCTCAGTATCGAAACATCTAAAAATATAAAGAAAATATTAATAGACCTGAAGGGAGAGCTAAATGGTAATACAAAAACAGTAAGGGGTTTCATTACCTCACTTCCAACAATGGACATATTCTGATTGGACTTCAACTATGCTTCGGACCAAAATGACCTACAGACATGTGCAGAACATTCCATCCCAAAACAGTACACATTCAAGTACACAGTTTTGTCCAGGATAGATCACATATTGTGCCACAAAACAGGTCTGAACAAGTTTAAGAGGATTAAAATATACCCAGTGTTTCTTCTGACTACAATGATAGGAAATTCAGGAGAAATTGTGGAAAGTTCACAAATACATGCAAATTAACATGGTACTAACAAAAATGATTAAAAAAATTTTAGATAAATGAAAATGGAAGCAACATTCCAAAACCTATGGGATGCAGCAAAAGTGGTTTGAAGAGGGAAATGTATAGCAATAAATCCCCATATCTCCTTGGGACCCCAACCCGCTCCTGCAAGATTCTCGACTAGCAGTCGTAATTCTCTGATCACCATTGCCCCAAATCCACTCATTCTAAATAGTCCAGCCTCATCCACATGATTTGAGTGTGAGGCTGAATTTGAGACTGGCCAATGTGAAGAGACAAGCTTTTTTTTCTCCTCACGTTTGTTGTTTGTGTTCCCCAAGCATTATCTTCAGTCCCATTTTTCCTCTAGATTTTGGTGAATATTTTAGAAAAATTCAATACACTGGATGATAAAACCTTCATACTCAGCCTACATTTTTTGTGGGAGTTTACATGTTTATATTTGTTCCTTTCTTTGGAAGGGTAGATCTGGGGAGTGCCTAATGTTAGATCTTGTTTCAGTTAGGATCCCAGCAGGACACAGCACACTAGAAAATGTTTGACTTTAAAGAAGTGAAGGAAGTGACTATATATAGATCTGTGAGACGCAGAAGCACCCAGGGCCTAGTGAAATGGGGAGACACTCTCAGGAGTGAGAAACCTAACTAGGCACAGAAGCTGGAGCCTGGGGACAGGGCTACTTGATAGGACCCATGGCCAGAGCAGAGCACAGCCAGTGGCAGCTCCATGGTGCCTCCAGGAGGAAGCAGGGAGGCAAGTTATCAGGAGTGTGTTTCCTCACAAATATTCCTGCCCCTGATTTGCCAGAGCTAAGTAGAGAACAGGGAGCTACAGTGATGGTCTGTAGATGCCAGCATGCTGGGCGCGGAGGAGGGCGGAGAAGGGGGATGAGAGATTTACACGTTTCCTCATTAACGTGAATTTTATCTCTTCCAGGTAGGCTGTTGTACAGTGTGTCTAGGATTCTGCATTCACTTTTTTTTCTAATCATTTCACCAGCTTTATCTTGGAATTATACCTTATTTTTCCTCAAGGAAACAGCATAACATTTCCCAGAAAATACCTTTGCCAGTTTCTAAATTTAATGTATGAGGTTAGTTCTGAGTCATAATGCAGCGCTATTTATAATGCTTCATTGTATTTAAGGGAATGGATTATTCAGTTTGCTTTGTTTTTTTAAGCTGCTTATCGCTAAGCTTTTGTTATAGTTAAAATTATAAATTATCCTACCATAGCAGACCTATTTCTCAATACAAGAAAGACCATGTCTAGAGACCAAGAAAAAGACCATTTAGAGTCCACCAGAGCACACCTTCCACTCTTCCAGATATGGTGGGTTTAGCCCCTAAGTCATTTCTAACATTCAGGTCAAGTCAGGCTTCATTGGTCCAGTTAAATAAACATAAACATCAATTTTGAAGAACAGCAAGGCAGGCGTAGACCTGCAAATTGGAGAGGATGATGGTGTGAGCTGAGCGGAGTCAGCTAAAGCGGAGCTACATCTGCCGCCACCTCAGAAAAGGTAGAAGCTATAGCTATAAGTAGAGGTGATCAATATTTATTTTGCGAGTTCAGCCCCTGAACACCCCTTCTAGAGCCAGGGTATGTGCCTTTGTATGAATCTTGGTCCAAGGTAGATCTCACCTCCTGCTATGGAGGCCAGATGGTCATTTGCTTTACCCCTGGCAGCCTGGGATGGTGACGGATCATAACCAAAACCACATTCCCGCCTCGGCACAAAGAGGCAGGGACAGTGTAAATGAATTCGTTCTCTTGGCTCGGTGGCAGTGTCCTGGTGACTGCTGACTGAAAGCTGCTTTGTGAATTGTAATTGTTCGGCCAGGGGAGGGAGGCCAGACTGCTTCTAAGGAATCCCTGAAGCATCTTGGGTGCAAGAGACCCCGAAGTTTAGACTCTTCTCCCCTCTCAGTGAGACACAGTCCCAATCATGTGCTGATGTCAGTCATATTTCAGCACAGGCTTACCAAGATAAACAGAAACGTAGCTTTCAATAGAGACTAATCCCAGATCTGCCTTCTCCACATCCTGTCACCTCCCCAGCCTCGTCTCCTGCCCCTTCTTCCCACCCCCACATCCACCCTTTCTGTTCCTCTCACTATTCACATTCTCCTCCAAGGACCTTGGCACGTATGGCTCCCTCTTCTGGAATGTTCTTTTCGTTTCATTCCAATCAGAAGTCTCCTGACTCAGAAAGGCTTTCACAGCTCCCCTGCTGAAATACGCCGCCCAACCAGCAGCACACACCTGCTTCTCCGCTCTCTCTCTCGGCATTGTGTTATTTTTCTTCCTGGCACTTACCTCTGCCCGGCGTTATGTGCCTATTTGCTGACTGTCTGCCACCCTCTGGATGAATGTTCTAAGCGTCTCCCTGGGCTCTGCTTGCTTCCTAATTTGTAGTCGTCTTCCTGTCACGGCAAGAGGCGTTTTTCATCTTGCAGCCTGAAACCACTAGGTATTACATTTTTTCCATTCAGTTGGTCCTTATTCCTGTCAGGAAAGACAGATTCCTGTTTTCTCAAACTCATTACTAAATGATAGAAGCCTAATGCCCTTTCATTTTCAATAGCTGCTTGAATAAAATGACTGTGGCATTCACAATAGCATTAGTCAGTGATTGCTGCTGGAAATGATAAAGGCCTGCTTTCAGGAAGGGAAGGCAACATTTATTTTCCTGTCTTGTTTTTAGGCCCAAGACACTGGCTTGTATAAAACAGGTGCCTAAAATATCTTCGTAAAACTACTAAGTTTTCTAGAACATTGACCAGTCATAATCTTATTTTTCATTGTGAATATTCAAGACACATTAGCTATGGCCCCTTTTGGGTCATAAATACCTGTTAGCATTAGAGTTATTTAAATATCGCAATTCCCCAAAGGCAGAAGCTATGGATATTCTAATTTTCCAGATGAGGTCAGTGAGGCAGGCCTAGGCCACACAGGTAGTGATAGCCTTGGGTTGTTTTTTGTTTTTCTTTTTTGTTTTTGCCAGATTAGGTGCTGTACTACTGAGTTACGTCCCTAGCTCTATTTATTCATTTATTTATTGCAGCTGTAAGGATTAAACACAAAGCCTTTGCAGTAAGGTATACTCCCAGCCATCATTTATTTATTTTTTAAGAATTTGTAACAGGATCTCGCTAAGTCACTAAGTTGCCCAGTCCAGGCTGGAATTTGCAGTCCTCCTGCCTCAACATCCTAGAGTATTGGGATTACAAGTGTGTGCCATAGCACCTGGATCTTTTTTTTTGGGTACCAGGAATCGAGCTCAGGACTTGTGCCTGCCAGGTAGGCGCTGTGCCACTGAGGTATATCCCCAGCCCTTGGACTCCTTTTTATTTTGAAACAAGTTCTCGCTAAATTGCCTAGGCTGGTCTCAAACTCTCAATCCTTCTGCCTAGCCTACCAAGTAGCTGGTATTATAGGCCTAGACTTACCTAGCTTTGGCTCTTAAACATGACATCAACTGCCTCTGAGAAAAGCCCACAAAAATACGAAGAGCACAGCGACTGTCCACTGGAGCTCCCTCAGGTAAGAGAAGAGGGAGGCAGAGGCAGATATCTTCCATGTGGGGTGCAGAAAGAGCATGCAGAGTCATGAGGGAGACAGGAAAAGGACATTCTCATGGCCTGGTCTCACTTCCAGGGAAGTCCAGGAGGGTGTCCTTGAAGACCAGCACCTATTCAGAAAATAAATAGGGGTGAATGAGTATAGCCCTAGAGAGGGGGTTAGACAGAAGGCATCTGGACAGAGGGCCGGGCAGGAACAGAAGAACCAAGCTGACAGACAGAGGAGTGTGGGCTGGGAAGAGGCAGCAGCCAGGTGCTGGAAGATGCTCTGCTGCCCACAGGAAGTGGAGTGGAGTCACAGCCGCCCACATGTGCAGACGTGGTCTGGCCGTGTAAACAGGATCTACAGACATTCATTGAAGGTTACAATTTATTCATTTTTGAGGTTAAGAGTAGGAAAATTATTGGGGAAAAAGGATGGGCAATAGGAATGAGGAATAGGAATAGCTCCTGAGAGATGGAGAGGTCCCAAGTGGGTTGCCAATGATCCCACTTCTCAAAAGAAGTTTTATAGAGCAAAATCACAAGGCAGTTACAGTGTGGGTCAAAATTATGATCAATCAATGAGAGTACAAGTATAATCACTTAGGTATTATTGACCTGTGGCAGCAAGGGCATACAGATGACACCTTTAACCTTGGTCAATAATCTGTAGTTATGTCTTTAGTCTCAGTGGTCTTAGTTTTAGTGATCTTAGTCTTGGTGTTAGTCTTAGTGGTCTTGGTCTGAGTCTTGCTGGGAGAAGATGGCCCACCCCTAATAAGTTAATGGGAAATCTGGCCATTGTGACTTTAATCTTTAGATGCACCTCCTGCCACAATCTCCATGTGTTCTGTCTTCTGTGCTGACTTCCTCGAAGGCCCAGCCCTGTCTGACTGCCTACAATATTTCCACCTAGCTTAGCTGTCTACAATATTCCCTCCTCTGAGGGCTGGGGATATAGCTCAGTGGCATAAGCACCTGCCTGGCAAACGTGAGGTCGTGAGTTCGATCCCCGGTACCGGAAAAAGAAAAAAAAAATTCCCTCCTCTGAAGAGGTACCCCTAAGTGGTTAGGGGAGAAGGGGTCCAGTTTCCATCTAGCTTATTGGAGCTGAGAAGGGTCGGTATAGGGGAAACTGCAGTCAGGGGCCTCCTCCAGAGAGCTAATCTAATGGGCCTTAGCTAAAAATCATGTTGCAGGTTAGCAGTTATGAGCTCCCTGTACAAGGTTGATCTAGGGGATCCTGGTGACAGGAGCCTGGCATGTTTGTTATTGGTTCCATCTGCACAATCACTTGGGAATTTGACCATCTCTAAGCAAGAATAAACAAATTTTCCAAGAAATTAAAGCATGTATAATCAAAGCATGGTGGGGTGATCAGGCACCAGCTATGAGAAAGAAGGCCCTAGCTCAGTCTCTTTCAAAATCTCTGCTTCTGTTTGAAGCATGTTAAAAAAATATATCTGTATCTCTATCTATCTATCTATCTATCTATCTATCTATCTATCATCTATCTATAATAAAGCATGAGCACTAACTAGAATGGGAAGGCAGGTTGGGAAAGAGCTATGTCACAAACTGCTGGGTTTTTTTTGTCTTTTTGAGACAGGATCTTGCTATGCAGTTGAGGCTGGGCTTGTGCTCACTTTGTAGCCCAGGCTGGTCTCGAACTCACAGCGATCCTCCTGCCTCAGCCTCCCAAGTGCTGGGATTACAGGCGTGAGCCGCCACACCAGGCTCCACAAACTGTTCTTAAGGGCCTAGAATATCAATTGTAACCTGTTGGCTCTCAGACCCCTCTACTGATTGAGGTTTTCTATAAGTCTGATCCTTCTTGTTGTGAGTTCCTCTAGTTTTAGCTGTAAGAAGATGGTTTTGAAGGACAATTATAGCTAACCTTTAAAGACCCTTGCTGAGATTTTATAGATTCCATTGTAGTTTTTTCCTTAATGTACCATAACAGTAGTCAGCTTCTGAAAATTGCCAGAAGGGGTCGATGATCGGAGTCGCCTTTTATAGCTAGCCTTTATTACTATGGTACTGTTTTCATACATCTTTTGGTTATACTTCTCCGTTGCGTGTTTAAGACCAAGTTAAAGTGAGACCTGTGTTAATCACAGTTAACCTCTTGCTCTCTGTCTAGATCAGTGAAGTCTCCTCACGCATTACTTTTGGAACCATGTACAGTGCCTCTCAGCTCGTCTGTCAGTGTCAGCCTCCGGGATGGGTCACAGTCTTGCTTGACCATGCTGCTTTCTGTGAAAGCATGGGAGGCTTTTCCCTCTTTGGTGACCCTCCTTTTACATACCATACATTCGTGGATTCCTCTTCTATGGGGTCCAGCAATCTCCCTACCCAAGAGGTAGGGTGACACACCAAAGTTGTAGGATCCTGTAGAAAAGGTTTCTAGTTAAAGAAAGGCTTTCTGAAAAAAAAAAAAAAAAAAGAACATTATGCACTGTGAGAAATCCAGATCAGTGTATCTTATGGCTCCTTAGAGTAAGTGAATGCCATTGTCACGGCCTTTTGTCAGTGTCACTTCCTCTCAGGACGTGTGTCCTAAACCCACATGTGAGAATGCACGTGCAGTTTTCCTACTGCAATCACCCTTTCCTATCACGCCAATACCACTTCCAAAGTCCAGCAAATCCACTGAGATGCACAATCCACCGGATGAGCACAGAGATCCTCCATTGCTTATGACCCATCTAAGCATTTTATAGGTTGGGTTTCTCATCATGCTTGAGGGGAAATTAAATACTGCCGCTCACGTCATTGGCATATTTTTTAAAATCCAGAGATACACACCAGACCATCCAACCAGAGAGAATAAAGTCTTACCATATTAGCTGGAGATGCTAATCTGCATTGCTAAAGCAAGCCAGGTGGTCAGCGGCTCCCACATCCACAGCGCTATTTTACTCAACAATAGCGAGTTGTGTATAAATTGGTTTCCATGGTTTGTTCATCTCTGCCGCTTTGCAGGTGGCTGAGGAAACATGGCTTGTCTCTCTGCTCATTAAGGAACGAGCAATGTCACATTTACCCCAACACGTTAGTGACAAGTGGTTCATAAATAGAAGGTTCTTTAAGGAGGGAGGCTCACCCTGAAGGGTTGAGAGATAATGGTGGTCTCCACTTTACTCTTTTGCCTTCTTTCTTTTCAATTACCATTTGTTTTTCCTGCAAGAAATATTTCTCTCAAGTGCATGCAAGATACTGATGAATTCCTTTCTGATCTGAATTCAGTGGAGCCCAAAGAATACGCCCTGAGAAGTAAGTAGGCTTCCCTAGCCCGTGGGATAGGTGAACAGGGCAGTCTGATGTTTGTGCTAGAAGCATTCTTGACAAACTTGTGAGAATTAAAATGCAGCACTGAATAGGGGAGAGAAGATGATCCTCAGCTTACAAATTGCTCTAGGAGTGGGGTTGGGGGAGGATTTTCATTGCAGAAAGCTCTGTGGTCAGTCTAGCCAGAGGGGTCTCCTGAGGACTAACCTCTTCAGCATTGTTCAGATTGTGCCATGCTGTTTATCGTTGAAGTTGATAACATCTCCTTGTCACCATGACATATCTTGGTGTATTTTTTTTCTAGACATTTAGTCTGCTTTTGATAGTAAGTTGCTTTATTATTCAGGGAGAAAGTCTTGTCCATTACACGCATAATAGTAAATTCTGAGGAGTATGTTGGTAAAGACCCTGGCTCAGGCTAGAAGGGAGATTGTAGCCAACCCGCTTTGCATGTGATATGTATGGATTTCAGGTAACTGCAATTTTTTGTTTGTTTGACTTTTGAGACTGGTTCTAACTTAGCCCAGCCTAGCCTCAAACACATGGTGATCCACCTGCCTCAGCTTCCCAAGTGCTGGGATGACAGGTGTATGCCATCAAGCCTAGCTCTTGCAATTTTTAAAAAAATGTTTCCCAAAGTCATTCTCACAACTGAAGGAATACATGTTTCCTGTCAGAAAGGGACACCAACCCCCCACCCCCAGGGGAGTAACTTCTTCTTCAGGAAAATGATTCATTATTACTGTTGTTAGTGAAAACCATTAACAAGGAAACATGTAGCAACTCTCTATCCCAAAACTAGGTAAACTAACCTAGCAATTTCCACTTAGAATGCAGGACTACTGTATTTTTTATTGAAAAACACCTAGTGGCATAATATATGCCATAAAGATAAACGTTTTGATCTAAATTCAAAATAGCATCTGATTTGAAGCAGTTGCTTTTCTACCCTGGATCAGATGCTCTGATAGTTAATGAAATGGTGGTAAAATATAAATCCAATTAATTCAAGAGCCATTTTCTTCAAGTCCCATTTTGGAATTAGTTGTGTTTTGCTACAACACTTGGTGATATTGATAGGGAATATTGTGACAAAAGCAGGCCAAATAAGCTGGCCAGGAGACTGCAGAAGGTGTGATGCTGGCTGGGATTTCTGGAGACGAGGTGGTGGCACATATTGTCATGGTTAGTCAGAGGCCAGCTCACACTATTTGCCCTACAAGTTACTGCAGTCACCCACAAACCGTGTTGCACGTACTGCAGGAGCATGAAAATAGGAAATCTCCTTTCTTAGCAAACAAAAAATTCTCAAGATAAATAGCTCAAGAAAGAATTGAATGACTTATATAACGGGGAGAGGATTATTAACTTATTTTAATAGATAAATACATCTATCTGTAGATGTCTGAACCGATATTCATTCTAATATGCCAGAAAATACTTGGCACTGCCGCTTTGACATTTTGCCTGAGATCTTTGAGCACAGCGTGTGTTTTTGACTTTGGTTCTCAGCACGGTTTTCCTGGCAGTCGGCATGGAAAACCAAGAGTCAGCAGTAAGTCCTTGGACCAGGAGGCACCCTTCTGAGCCCCGCACATGAGTTGATTCTCTTAGTCCCGAAGCTCCTCTTTTGGGAGGTGGGAAGGGCTGTTATCATCTATTTTATAAATGAGAAAACCCAGCCACAGAGATGTGAAAGATCTTGCGCAAAGTGGTAGAGATGGGTTTTGAGCCAGTGTAATCTGATTCTTGAGCCTGTACCTCTGATCTTTGCTGAAAATAAGCAACAACAAAAGAAACAAAAAAACAAAATCAAACCTGGCAGCCAAAAAATATCAATAATGAGTGGTCGAACAGAGTTATATTATGAAGAAGAAAAAAGTTGCGGGAGATTATATACAGCAGCTAAATTTAAGCCAATGCAAATTAAGGGTGGCTATTTGCTAAATGGATGTGGTCCAAACGTTAAGAAATGCCTGAGGGCCGGGTGTAGTGATAATGCACACCTGTGATCCTAGTACTCTGTGAGGCTGAGGCAGGAAGATGGCAAGTTTGAGATCAACTGGACAACTTAGTGAGACCCTGTCTCAAAATAAAAAAATTAAAAAGGGCCGGAGATATAGCTCAGTGAAAAGGGCCTGGGTTGAATCCCCAGTACTAAAGGAAAAAATAGCCTGAGAATAATAACCTTTAAGTTCAGTCAGGGGACAGCTTTAGGGAAGGTGGGGGAGCAGCTGTGGTCACACTAGAGTTCAAGGGATTGCTCGGGTTCTGCTGTGAGTGATGGGAATATAGGTGATCATATTATTCTTTATGTCTGTCTAATATATTATTACATGATTACTGTTTTAAAATGCCATCCCCAACCCAAAGCACAGAGATGATAACCCTTACAGGCTGCAGAAAACAGGCAGAAACCCGAGGAATAAGGACCGAGGAATGAGGCTCCTTGAACTTCACACAGAGATGCTTGGCCTTGCAGGCAGGAAGCAGGGTCATGCAGAACAGGGGAGAGATGGATCTTTAGAGACTCGGTCTGCATGGGTAGGATGGGCTAAAGAGTACAGGGAAGTTTAGGAACGAGGCTCCATGTCTATCTTCCTCCATTCTCTATTTGTTTTCTAACAATTACTTACCAACCTAACAGGAATAAAAATCGGCCAAATGTCCCTGTGAGCTTTGATTTTTGCCCCTTTCTAGGATCTTGGGCTCTTACCAAATACCCCTTGTCACTGTGCAGCCCTGAGCTATCTCCCCAGCCCACTACAGCCTGTGCTCTTGAAGCTATTGACACCTATTGCTTGCAGATGGTGGGAACTGCTGCTGTACTATCGTGCTTGGCCTTTGAGCTCCAAAGTTGGGAGCAGTGCAGAGGGACTTAGAGGTCAGCAGTGGAGTCAGTGTCTTGCAATCGCTGCAAGTGGCGTTTATTGTTTGGTCAACTGTTTAGATTTAAGGAACTGCAGACACTGTGAAATATGCAAATTGAACAAAGGTGTATAATAGCAGTAGGCATCACACTGTCAATGCCACAAAAAACATGAGGAAATATTTTACAGTATTCAAACTGTCATCTGACTCACTGTGACTGTTTCTTATATTATGGACCAATGTTTGCAGTTTTACCATACACCTTTCTTATATCACATTAGTAGTATTCATTAAGGTGAACAGAAATACCAACATTCATGTTGAAACCACAGATTGACTATAGATAAAAGAGCCTGGCCAGCACACAAGCGCACACACACACGCACACACACACACACACACACCCAGCAAAAGTATTTTGTGAGAATCAATTGACTATTTACATATAAAGATTCTTGGAGATTTCCTTAGTATTTGTATTATATGTGTGTTGTGGACTGAATTGTGTTCCTTCCAAATTCAGAAGTCTTAACACCAGTGTCTCAGCATTTGGAGATAGGATCTTTAAAGAGACAGTGAAGCTGGGTCTGGTGGTATGTACCTGTAACCCCAGCATGCTGGGAGGATTGAGCCCAGCCCGGGCAATTTAGCGATTTAGTGAGACCCTGTCTCAAAATAAAAAGTAAAAGAAGGGGCTGGGGATGTAGTTTAATGCAAAGGCCTGGGGTTCAGTCTCTAGCATAACAGGTAGGTAGACAGACAGACAGACAGATAGACACCAGTAGATAAGTTGAAAGGACGACAGCTGCCCTTATAAAAGAGGAGATTAGGACACAGACCCACTTCCAGGACCATGTGAGGACACATGCAGCAATGAGGCAGCCATCTGGAACAAGGAGAAGGGCCCGAGAAGAAAGCAGCACAGGCTGCAGTCTGTTCTTAGACACGACGGCCTCCAGGTCTGTGAGGCAGTGAGTTCCCAGGTTGAAGGCCCCCCGCGTGTGGCATTTCTTCATGGTGCCCCTAGAGAGCTAACGCGTGTGCCATATGTCCTTACAGCAGTGCAACTTTAATACTACCCACTTGGACAGTGTTGTGGGTTGACTTGTCCTCAGAAAGATATGTTGGAACCTTAATCCTTTGGATTAATCCTGCGGATGTGACCTTACTTGGGCCTTTGCGGGCAATCAAATTAAGATGAGGTGCTACTAGCTTAGGGCAGGCCCTAATCCAGTGATCTGTCAGTGTCCTTCAGGGAGGGAAGTCTGGACACAGACGAGACACACAGGCAGACTGCCACAGAGCCATGTAGGCGGAGACGGGAGAGCTGCATCTGCAAGCAAGGGAAAGCCAAGGAGCAGGCAGCAGGAGCCAGGAGAGAGGCAGGGAACAGACTCACGCCCACAACCTCCAGAAGGGCCACCCCGCCAACCCCTTGATTTCAGACTTCTGGTCTCCAGAACAGAAAGAATAAATTTCTATTGTTTTTAAGTCACCAGTTTATGGAGTTCAGTTAGTACAGCTCTGGAAAATTAATATAGAAATGAACATAGAGTGCAGTGGCCTCTCCAATATACTTTTTAGAATTAAATGCATGCCCTATTATCTGGGATGTGAAAAAATAATCCAGCTGGCCTTGTGGAGGGCCTGGGCCTCATCTTCTCTGAGATGTGGCAGATCTGCATAGAACCCTTTCTCAGAAGCCAAGGTGACCCATTCCTGACGCCGCCTGCAGCAGGGCTTTGAAGGCGCAGCTGCGCACACGGAATTCTAATTCTGCTCGGCCCAGTGTGGCATCCTGGTTTCACGTGATTCTTGCACTTGATTCCTCTAGACAGAAGGAGGGGGAGGAAGGCCAGCCACCGTTCCCAAGCTGCCTGCAAAGCTTTTCATTTCCTGTTTTTTCTCAGCTCATAACATCCTTGAAATCCTCCCCCAAGCCATTTCGCTCTCAAACTTTGTTAACCCTTCGTGTGCCTGGATCAACTCTCTGAGTCCAAGTGTGGTCAGGATGCCACACTTCAGGCTCTGAGCACTCCTCTCTGACTTCAGCTTTTCTCTCCTGCAGAGATGACATTATGTGCTGCCTCTCTGTTTCACCTCCTCTTGGAATC